AATCTCTTTGAAATCTGGCCTACTTTTTGAGACATTTCACAGTTTTCTTCACATACTCTCTTTTCCAAATAAAGTGACTTATTTGCTGTTCTCTTCCCATCTCCTGCCTTTGTACATATGAAGTTCCTCCTCCTCTATTCCTACAATACACAGATTCTGCCTCTTAGAATCCTTAGCTTCCTCCAAGGCTTAACTCAGATAATATCCCCTACCAAAAGCATTTCCTGATCTTCTAGTTATGAATGCACTCTCCCTCCTCAAATCATATTGTACTTATTTATATCTTTACATGATAAATTCTTTCCCCCTCCCTCCAGGAAAATTTAAGCCCCTTGAGGACAAGAATATTTTTTCATTTTGCCTTTGGAGAAAAAAATAAAAGTTTGTGGAATGAATGGTCCAAACATAAGCCATTACTCAACATAGACCCCTAAAATGATATCTTCTTTAAAGGAATAAAACAACAACAGTTTGCAGATTGCACCCCAATTTTATATAAACCAGATTGGGGAGATAAAAGTGATCTAAATTCAAGGTGATATGATATAGATATATATAGATAGAGATAGAGATAGAGATATAGATATAGATAGATAGATAGATATAGTTTCTTATATTTCTAATCAAACTATTTTTGAAATATCTAACCCTCATGGACTTCTAAATTTTTGCTTACTATCTCATTGAGATTTGTGGGAAAGGTTTTATTGATATTTATAAAATGACAATGCCTTCTATATACTCATAGCATAAGATTGCAGATTTGGGATGAGAAGGGATTTCAGAGATCATCTAATCCAATCCTCTCATTTTAAAGAAAACAGAGAGAGCAAATGGATTGCTCTAGGTCATAAAAGCAGGCAAGATCAAAGTCAAGATCAGAACCCAAATTCTCCAACTCTAAATGTAGCACTTTTTCCACTCCACTGCAATGCCTTCCCTACTCTTTGCCTAGAAATATTGCATTCCTCATCTTCTACCTCCAACAGAAATTAAGCTACTTGAGGGAAAGGATGATTTTTTTCTTTTGTCCTTGTATCCTTAGAGCCTAGCACAGTATATTGGTATATAGCCTGTTCTTAATAAATGCTTGCTAAATTAAATAAATATCTTATTGATTGACAAGTAGGAATGGAAAGCAAGGCTTACCCACTTATGACTTCTGTCTTTGACAATGTTGTTTATAGACTGAATAAGTCAATTTCTGCTTGCAATGGTCCCTTCTACTTTATATTAACTTTTTGTAAAGTTCGAGCAACCTATCAGTAGGTACCTCCTCTATTTCACTCTCCCAGTCTTGGGATGAGGGAGCATCTGGAGAATGGGACAGAAGAGATGGGAGCTAGAAATTCACCACTGGGTAGACTATTTGGCCCCAATAAGAACACATCGAAATGAGCCTCCTGTTTTCAGTTTTAGAAGTGAAAGAACTTTCTGAACACTAATTTTAACTAGTTAATAAAGAGGAAAGGGATGAAACCTTCTCACAACCAATTACTCGAAGGCTTCTGTTTATTTTCAATATCACTGCACTACCTAGTAAAACCAGAAAATCCTCTTGTCTGGTTTATTTCTGCCCTGTTTTATACATAATTTGAACTGAGTAGCAGACAGTCCAAAAGCTGAAATTCAGTGGATTGAAATCACTGCCAAATATATATATGTGCTTTTTCTTACAAGATGAAAGTCTTTGGTTTTTACTCATCTTGTCCAGATTTTCATGTCATAAACCATGCAGGTGCAGCTCCAGGACATAGGGTTTGGCCACGTGAAGCCCACAATTCTTACCATGGCTTAAATTTAATTGATATTTTCAACATTTGTAATGAATCCACATAAAGGAATTGTCGACGTTTTCTCCATATGCCTGAACATCTGTTTAAGAGACTAAAATATCAAACCTATGAATATGAACTCAAAGCAACATAGGTCAATGGAAAGACCACCAAACTTAAGCACCATGCCCCCCATTACAGTCCTACTACAACTAACTGGCAAGCTGCTTCCTCTCTCTGGGCCTCAGTTTCTCTTCTGCAAAACAGAGGTGATGATAGTATTTGCATTGTCTAATTCACAAGGATATTATAAGAATTGGATAGTAAATGTATATGAAAGTGCTTTGTAAATGATAAACAGGGACAAGGATGGGATCTGTGATTTCATTGGTATAAAGAACTCCCAAGTAAGAAAATCAATGCAAGGCACCTTCTCTGCAACTTAAAGTCTTAAGAGAGTTCTCTAGAGTACCAACAAGTTAAATGAGTTGTCCAAGGTCACACCAACAGCATATGTGAGAGGTAGGACTTGAACCCAGGTCTTCTGGGCTTCTAGGCAAAGTCACTACCCATTATTCTACACTGCCTCTCTAAATTTTAAATGGCACCTCATAAATATAAGTTATTATTGTTAGGCTTCATATTTCTTACTAGGATAAAATATAGTTTTCCTGGTAATATTTTCATTTGATGATAATTTCAATGATACATAATAATTGTATGGTAATTACAATGCATGGTTATACAGTACAATACATGGTAATTACAACTTTCTTAAAAGTCTCTTCATATGAGCAAATAAGAGGGGGGGAAAACCTAGGAAAAGTCCAACTCTGAAGATAATATGTGCAAGTATCTGATAATGAGTATGAGCAGCCAAGAGGACTAAATGACAATGGACTCATACATAGCACTCTCAGTCGTGATATTATTAGAGCCCATAAAATAAAGAACTTAGGAAACATTAAAGCCTGATCTTGCAAAACTCCCTTTGAGTAGAATAGCAGTTTTGTCCACATAAGGACCACAGCATCCTGTCACAAAAATAGAAAAGGGAAAGATCAGGGAAATTATACTAAGTTACTTAAATCTATTCCTTTTTTCTTTCATTTCTGCCTCTTACCTACTTGACCAACACTAGACTAATAAAAATAATTGTCAGTCACATCCCCAAAGACTGTCAACCCAGTTGGAACATCATATAGCTGAATCTTTTAAGAAGAAAAACGACCCAAATCCAACTGCTAACTGTGCGCTCCCCAAATTTCTTCTCCTCTCCTACAGAACATTTTGCATTCATGGGTTTACTCCAATTGCACTAAAAAGTAGAGTATCACATCTCATTTTTTAGAAAGAAAATGACCTCCTTCTATGTATCCTCTTTTGATACTGCCAAAGACTTTTAAAGCCACATTGCATTTTCACAACCATAAATGTGAACAATATGACCTCTTGGCAGTTTCCTCCCCGGCTGGAAGAAGTTAAAGTAAGATGCAATACACAAGTTCCCCAAGTCTGATGTTGACCAGGAATCTCAAACCCAGAGTGCATGACCAATTTAAGTCTGTAGCACTCCTCTATTTGCTTTGCTAACTGTCTGAACCCACTTATTCATTCATCAATTTGATTACATATGGGATCATGTTTATTTTCTTTTGTATTTGTCCCATCACCTGGCACACTATGTCACAGACAAGAGGCACTTAATCAAGGCTTATTGGAGTTGAAGCTTGAACAAGCCTATCAAAGGCTGCATCTTAGAACTGGGAAAGTTGAGAGCAATCAATAAATTAGTAACCTTTTATTAAGTGCCCACTATGTGCCAGGCACTGTGCTAAGCACTGGTGATACAAAAAGAGGTAAAAGACAGCCCTTGCCTTCAAGGAGCTTACAATCTAATGGACTGAGAATCCTCTATAGCTGTAAAGGAAAGAGGAAACAAGCACTTATTAAACATCTGCTATATACTAGGCACTGTGCTAAGTGCTTTCCAAATAATAACTCGGTTTAACCTCACAACAACCCTGCAAGGTGCTATTATTATCCCCATTTTATAGTTGAGGAAACTGACACAGACATCAGTTAAGTGACTTGCCCAAGTTCACACAGCTAGCAAATGTCTGAGCCAAGATTATGAATTGAGGGCTTTTTTATTTCAGTGCTCTATCCCCTGATGAACAGCCCACACCCTAATAGCATGTTTGAGATCTGTAGTCTAGTAGATTGGATTTCATCTATAGCAGGTATTCTTAACTTTTTTAGTATCATGGACCCCTTGGGCAATCTGTTGATAATATTTTTATTGAATATTATTTAACATTTATTTAATTATTTAAATGATATTTTAAATGCATTAAATAAAATATTTAGGATTAAAAAGGATAACAATTACACTCAAATAGTTAGCAAAGTATTTTTTAGAAAAGAACACAGATTCCAGGTTAAGAATCCCTGCTCTATACTGACATAAAGACACACCCTGGATTGTATGTGGTGATTCCTGGCTACCCAAAATAATCAGATGCTCAGAATACTGCAACCCCTAAATATTATGGAGAAACAGGAGCTTCCTGTATGTATCTGTGAACATTTGAACAAATATCTGTGGTTGGGCCAGGGGTAGGAGAACCAGATAGATATGGATAAAGAAGAGATGGAACCATACCTTCATTCCAAACTCAAAACATAAAAATGTTGACTAAATGGTTGGCAAAACTTTAGAAAACCTCATCAAACATGATTATCTCTGCAGATCTGTGGCCAGAAAGAGAGATTCCATAAGAAGACCATTTCTAGTACCATTTCTATCATATATAGTGATTTAAGATTTGCAAAGTACTTTATCAATATTATCTTATTTTATCCTAATAGCAGCCCTGGAAGGCAGAGGCTAATATTATTCCTCATTTTGCAAATGAGGAAAATGAAGCTGAGAAAGGTTAAGTTGCTTGTTCAGGGTCACAGAAGCAATAAGTATCTGAGGCAGGATTCAAACTCTGGTCTTCCTGACTTCAGGTCCCACACCTAGCTTACAAGAGGGACTATGCACAGTAGTTCCAAACCAATTAAGATTGGGTGTCTGGATGCTAACCTCTACTGACATAAAATCTCCTTTCCAGAAGAGTGATTATGATCACATTCTTGTACATGACTGCTGTGAAGCAAAGGTGAGTCATTTAGTATTCAATCTAAGGCACCAGGTAGAAGAAAGATGCAGACTCATACCTGGACCACAGGATGACCTCCTGTGGGAGCTTTGACAGCCCCTCGACTGCCCTCTGTCTCGTAGTGTGCCCGATGATGGGGCTTTGGCTGCACTTCAATCCTCAGTTCATAGGACCCTGACTGATTGGAAAGGGGCCACTCAAGAGGTGGAAGGGACGCAGTCACCGGGATGCTAAAGGAAATTAAAAACAAAAAAGGAAATTAAAATTAAATAAGAAACACATATAATCCATACGTATGTGTCCCCTTCCCTATCTAGACCCCAAATTATTCTCCCCAGACAAATGCATTTTAGAGATTCTGATTCACATGCCATTCATAATCATGGTACATTTCAGAGCAATGTGGAGGTATTCTGTCTTGGTACTGATTTCAGTAGAATGCAAATTCCTCATCTAAGGCAAGCATTGTGCGGTTTTTGTTTTTATAATCACCAGTGCTTTGCATACTTAATAAATGTTTGTTATATTGATTTGAAAAACTTAAACAGCTCAGTGCCTTAAAGAAAAAAAAATTATCCTATGTTCAAATGATGCTTTAAGCATTCCATAACTATTGCATATTTTATTGCTTTGTAAACCTTAAAATGCTATAAAAATGTTGGTTATTATAATTTGCTAATGGGATTTATTTGTGGATCCTTTTGATGCTCAAACTCCATATTCATTTTTGGCAGAGGGAATTTCTCTTCTCTACCTCATAGAGCCTGGAACAGTGCTAGATATTTATTAGCTACCCAGTTCATTTAGATCATGCCATTTTAGAGCTCAATGAGATCATTAGAAATTATTTCACCATGCAAATAGAAAACAGTCACATAAAGGTTCCATAAATCTACCCAAGGTAGATATGGTAGCAATGAGTTAGTGACGGCAGAGTCGGGTTGAGAATCCATTTCTCCTGAATGCTATCCCAGTATCTTATGAATCAGCAAGCGCCGGATTCTGCTTTCAGATCTCTTACTACCTAAGTGACCTTGGGCAAGTCACATAACCTTCTTTTTCTGTAAAATGAAGGACTTTTAGTAGTTGATCTTTAAAGGTCCCTCCCAGCTCTAAATCCTATGGTCCTATAACATTTCAGGGGAGTGAATACAAGATAATGTACAACATGCAGAATAATGCATTCAGAGCAGGCTATTTTTAACACTACATAGCTTTGAGGCTGTACTATTCAACATGATAGACTCAGATCTAATCATAGCTCCCACTACCATAGGGCTTAAAAGTTTACAAAGCACTTTCCTCACAACTGTGAGAAGACAGTGCAAGTATTATGCCCATTTTACAGGTGAAGAAATAGAGGCAGAGGGATGTAAAGTCTTCAGGTCTTCTTCTACTTGATAACACTGTGTCTCTTATGCATTTACTTCTACCTACCTTGTTTACAGTATATTGCTGAACTCAGGCACCTGATCAAAATAACACTGGGACTGAATATCCTCTTTTCTTTCTCTCTAGGCCTGCATTTTTCCTCCAAGGTTTTTGTTGCTGCTTATTTTTTAAACAAATGAATCATTTTAAAATGCAGCCGAAGGAAGAATATATTATAAAGTGTGGTCATAGATAACCACACTAGTAAATCTAAGATCTTAAGGGTACAGATCTACTCAGTGTCATTTAGTTTGGTTCAGGTTGGAGCCATTTGTTACTAAAATATGACATTGAGAATTGGGTCAGACTGACCTACTTGAACCCCAGGCATTTTCCATACATAATGCATAATGATATAGATCCTCTGATTTCGTGTTCTCCTGACACTTTCCCTAACACATCTATCTACTTGTCTTCCCAGCTTACTAGAAAACCCTTTTTAATATCTCATCAAATATCATGGCTTCACCAAATGCAATCCATTAGACAGAAATGTGTCTAACTCATTATATAAAAATCAAAAATCACTTTGCCTCTTCTTTGTGTACTTCATATGTCCTATTTCTTATCATAGCTATTTATGTGTGCATCAGATCTCCCATTAGACTGTAAATTTTATGAGGGGTAGAGGTGTGTCTCATTTCATTTGACTGTAACTCTCCTGTGCCTAGCACAGTGCTCTAAGTAGATAGCTGTGTTTAATAAATATTTATTGAACTTGAGTAAGCACTGAAAACTGAAGATTTAAAACGAATCAGCATGCAAAGCCATGTTAAAATCACACAACTCACCTGCAGATAGGAATGGCAGGAACCAGTTGCTTTGGCCAAGTTGGGGGCACCAATAAAATCGACTCCGGAGCTGAATTTCTCCTCTCCTCCTGCTCACAAGGGCCAAGATAATCTACATTGGAATAGATGGCATGCCGAGGCATGCTGGTTTTTTGGGAGGGAACTGGTGATGGGTCAGGGCTGGTTTTCCACATCTTGGAAGGGATGCCACAAGGGGGATCTGTGGTGAGGTTGCTCATGGTGTCCATAAGGATGGTAGAGTTGGGCAACTGGGTGCAAGTGACTGAAAGTCCGTCTTCCCTCAGCGAGACGTTGGGCGAAGCCTGTGGAGAGGGGGTCCTAGACTGGTGTGGAGAGGCCGAGGGCAGCTGAGTAGTGAAGAGCTCAGCACAAGAGTACCTTCGCTTCGCACCGGGTGATGAAGACCTGGAGTTGGGACGGGGCGAGGGTGAGTGTCGTCCCAAGTAGGTTTCCTCTGTGATGCTTGTTCGTGGTGACATTATTGGAGAGGTTCTAGGAGAATAATGAGTATGGATGTTTTGTAATTGTGGACAAAGGTCGTCACTAGGGCCATTATTGGGCGAGACACACGGTGATGTGTAGGGAGAGAAATTGGTCTCTGAAATGAAACTTGCAGACGAGCCGCTACTAGCGGGGCTCAAGCAAGGCGGATCCCGGTAGCCCTCAAAGCCAGGGACCGGCAGAGTAAACCTTGGGCTAGCAGTGACGGAGTTGGGCTGTTGCTCTAGCAAAAGATCTGTGTCTCTGATGCGGAAGGACCCACCCGACTGTATCAGTTCATGGGATGGAGTGATCTCGATCCTAGGACTCAAAGCCGAGGCCCCTACATGCTTTGCAGGGTCTAGGTAGCATTTTGACCCTATGCTATCTGGCTGTCCGTATTTGCCCATGGGATCTGCAGAGTTACTAGGAGGGGGGGTGTATGGCTTGAGGCCATAATCCAGGACATCATCAGGACATCCAGAGGGTGGGCTGACGATATTATGTGGAGTCGGTTCTTCTGGAAAAAGAAGGGTCTCTTTTAAGGCTATAAAATAGTACTATTGAAGCTGAGCAATCATGGGTTTATTTTTTTTTTTTAATTTTTAAAAAGCAACAACACCAAAGCCCAAACTAAAACCTCCATTTGTGACTTAATGGAAAGGTAGAAAGCATGAGGCAAGCAGCTTCACACCAGATTCAATGAAAACAGAGAGGAGAGTTTAACCAATTTTAGCATATCCTATATGCAGCTAAATCAATGGAATCTTACAATCAGAGCATGTCATGTCAGAGCTGGACTGGATGTCAGGGATCCTCTAGTCCACCACATTCACTTTACAGAACACGATGCTGAGGCCCAGAGAGGGCAGATGACTTAGTCACCCAGCAGACTGGGAACTAACAGCCATATCTCCTGCAACCCAAACCAGTGTGTCTACTTCCATGATGTACCACTTTTCCTTAGGTGGGTTTTGAAAAATGTCAGGAAGAAAGGTATTTCCAGACTAGGGGAACACAGCAAGAGCTGAGATGCAGACAGTGCAACTGGGACCAGATTTAGGATCCTTGACTAATTTGGCCCCAGCACAGTTCTCAAGCCCCATCTCAGGGTCTACAAACAATAATAACAATCATATTAATAACAACTCACATTTCTTAAGAGTGCTTTAGAGTTTATAAGCATTTGCCTCAAGACAACCCTATGAGGTAGATAGTCTAAGGGAACATTGTCATCCCAATTTTACAATGGAAGAGTAGGAAGAATTAGAAAGTGTTAAGTTACTTGTAAAGGTTTTACAACGTGTTAGTGGCAGAACAGGAAAGCCCCAGGGCACCAAATTCTCAATTTATCCCCCCAGAGGAGGGGCCACTGCAGTATAAGTCCCCCCCCATGACCTGTAAAGGACTCCTGCATCCCAACACCTCCTCTCACAGGGGGTTCCAAAAGCCTTCATAGTAGTTAAGTTCCAATTTGTGTTGTACCTTACATCTCATACTAGACTATACTTCCCTGGAAGATTTGGTTTGGGTCTCCTTAGTATCTATCTCTCAAAGATGTGCAAGGCTTTGGATATAGGCATATTCAACCAATAACTTCTGAATAACTGAACCAGCAAAATTCAAGGACTCATGCTTCTGGCAAACTAAAATCCCAAATTCTCCAAGACAAGTCCAATTACAAGAAAATTTTTTTAAAAACTTTTTAAAAATATACTCATAAATAGGCCACAGAGACTAGACCTGTGATTTTATTGACATAGGGAACTCCCAGGTAAGGAACCTCCCTCAATCTAGATAAGTCAGGACCTTCTCTACAAGTTATAGTCTTAGAGACTTACCCAAAACACAATTTAAGAGACTTGAGCCCAAGGTCACCTAGCGCTTGTGTGAGTCCAAGACCTGAAACCAGATTATGCTGGTTTCCAGGCCAGCTCTTCTCTATGTTACATTGCCTTTCTTTTAGTAAGATTTTGAAAAAAGAAATAATGCATCAAAACCATATTTCCCAATTTGGGGTTTGGAAAACACTGTTACTGTTCATAGTAGTCACTCACTCACTCACAGGAGGCTTGCCTGTACAACTTGCTTTTAGTACCAAGGTGCATTTGTAGTGGACAACCCTTCCTACAGAAGAGTCTCTAACCATTTTGGGATCTTCCTTAGGCTATACAGGGAGCTCTCTCTATTGAAGTGCCAAATTGTCTAACTATATCCACCCTGGATTGGCCCTGGGGATACCATTTTAGAAGATTCATTCTCAGGAAGCAGTTATCATTCCAGAAAACGGCCTGTATAAAATGACTGGCTCCTTCTCTACTCACAACTTGGAACAAATCAAAACTTATATTAAATCCAGAAGTCAGAATGCCATTTATCTCGCTACTATGTTGAGTTCAAGATCAAGACTAATTTCAAATTTCTTAAAAAGAAAAAAAACAAGCCTGCCTGGCAGTTATTAGTTCTAACTTTTGAACTGAGTTAGAAGATCAAAGTCAAATTTATGTTTACAACATTCTTAGAATGTACTGCCTGGCTCAAACCAATTAAACAATACCCTAGATATGACTTAGTGAACAATCTGGCCTTATCAAAAAAGATTTGTTCAACCTTATCATGAACACACCCTCCATGCTGAGAAGCAAAATACCTGAAATACCTTTCATTAGCTATTGCATTACTGCAATCTTGGAGCGAAAAAATTTACTAAACAAATTATTCAAATATTCAAATATTTACATTTGTCTTTAATTCAAGAACCATGTTTTGTTTTTTGGTTTTTCTTTAAGTTTTTTGATGAACCTAGAAGCAGGAAGGGAAGATGACATTTTAATTCAAAATGATTTAATTCTTGGTCCTTTGAGCATTTGACAGTAAATGCCATAAGCAAGCAGTATAGTGATGAAATATTTCCTTAATTAGTGAGAGTTTGGCTCTAATTTCATTTAAACAATAGTCGTGCTCTCCCAACTACCACATCCACATCCACATTAGATATGTCAGCTATAATTTAAAATTCGACAATTCCTAAGGTGTGCAGGGGAAGGAGATTCAACACTCTTGAAGAATAACAAAAATTGGACTAGAATTTGGATCCAACCAAATCATAATTGAGCCTCAAGAATTCTTGCCACAAGACTCTCATGATTAGTTATTTTCCTAATAACAACAACAATAACAATAATAATCTGTATTTTTATAGCCCTTTAAATTTTGCAAAACTCTTTACATGTTGTCTCATTTGATTCTCACTACGATCCTGTGAGGTAGGTGTTATTATCCCCATTTTAAGATGAGGAAACTGAGGTTGAGAGGGTTAAATGACTTATCCAGGGCCACACAGCTAGTCAGTGTCTGAGGTAGGATTTGACTCAGAGCTTCCTGACTCTAAGGCCAGCATTCTATCCACAAGTTTTTCCTTCCAATAAATGATGGCACAGGATATAAGCACCAGAAATAAAATGGAAATGAAGGGTCCTTGTCAAAAATAAATATGGTAGAGGCCTCCCATCACACTTCTGTCATCTCAGAAATACTAATCACCAGCAGCCTTCCAATTTTATGGCAAAAGCCTACCTAACAAATCTACCTTTGAGTATACACTAAACCTTAGAATCTCAGAATTTCAGCATTAGAAGGGACTTCTGAGGCCAGCTAGCCAATCAGTACCTGTACAAGAATGCCCTCTGCACAAAAGATTCTCATTCAACCTTTGCTTAAAGACTTCCAGTTAAGGAGAGCCCACCACTTCCCAAGGCATCCCATTCCCCTTTTGGATAGCTCTGCTAGGATGTTTTTGGTTGCTTTTTATCTGTAAAATTGGAATAACGACATTAGGGCCTGCCTCACTAGTGTTACATAAATTCTATTTTACATTGTTATGCTGTTACTATTTACATTAATTATTGTTATTATTTTTTTTTTATATGAAGCCTCAATTAATTTCTCTGCAGTTTTGACCTATTACTCCTTGTTCTGCTCTCAGGGGCCAAAAAGGGAATCTGATCCCTTTTCACAAATCCTCCCAAAAATTAAAGGAAGGTAACTGGTCCTCATTAAGTTTTCTCTTCTCGAGGCCCGATATCCCTGGTTCCTTCAATCACTCCTCACATAGTAAAATGGATGGAGGGCTGGGTTTAGAGCCAGAGAGACTTGGCTTCAAACCCTGCTTCAGACACTTTCTTGCTATGTGTCCATGGGCAAGTCACTCACCTTTTCTTGGCCTCAGTTCCTCATCTGGAAAATGAGGAATTTGGATTGAGTGAGCTCTCAGGTGTCTCTTAGCTCTCAATCTATGATGAGGAGCTCACCAGATCTAAACTTCTCCCATGTAGGAATGATTTTGGTCATTTTATTTCTACCATGTGCTTAGCACATAACAGGTACTTGATAAATACATATTAATTGATTAAGAATCATAGAATTAAAGAAGTGGAAGACTTTTTAGTCCAACTCAATAGCCCACACGTGAATAGCCTCTACAATATCCCTGACAAGTGGCAAATCAGGCTCTGCTTGAATACCTCTAGTGATAGAGTAACCATTGCCTATTAAAGCATCACATCTCATTGTGGGGAAGCTCTAATGGTTAAGAAAGTCAAAGAGGAGAGTCAACTAAAATCCGCCTCCCTGTGACTTCCAAATGCTGTTCTTAGTACTTCCTTCTGGACACACACAAAAATAACTCATCCATCTTCCCCAGTGACTGCCCTTCATCTATTTTAAGACATAGTCTCATCTTTAGATTCAACTTCCACAGTTCCTTCATTGAACCTTCAAATGATACGGTTGGAAACTCCCTTGCAATGCTAGTCACCCTCTTTTGGACTCTTCAGATTATCTGTTTTCCTCCTAAAATATGGTACCCACAACTGAATACAACTCTGGTCAGATATGACCTAAGCAGTCTCCCTGGGGATTATCATATCAGGATATGACAAGGTTGCAAATATGACCACCCCTAGGTTGAGTCCCAAATTAAAGCTTTATTCAATGGTCCTGGCAGATCTGTGACTTACTCGGTGCAGTGGGATGGGAAGAAAGAACTTTAAAAGGAAAATTTCATTCTTCCTTGAAATATACCCTATAAGGACATTTCATTTACAAGTCTCCCCATCCCCCTCCAAAAAAAAAAAAGAGGAAGAACACTAACAAAAATAAAATAGCTTGGTCAGCATTTTGGCGCTCTCTTTGTCTTCTTTGACAGGACAGGCTCTCAGCAAAACTGTTAAGTCAGCAAAGTTTGTCTTTTTTCCTCACCTCCCAGCCCCGATTCCAAAACCCTATCCATTCAGCTTTGCATTTGTCCTGTTACAGAAAAATAAAAAGGGTGGAGCTCTGAGGGACTAATTCACAGCCAGGTATTGCAATTTGCTGCTGGGGTATTGGCATTGGGAAAGAATAGGCTTAGAAATAGCAATGCCTTAACACAAAGGGAGAACTCTGTGATACAGGAGAAAGAGTCCTTGACTTGGACCTAGAAGCTCTGGGTTCAAAACCTGATTCTACCGCTTAATAGAT